GGATTTCTCATGTATTTAATAAACTTAATTTCCTACATCTCGGAAACACCCAAAGCTTACAATCAGATTTACAGTTTACACAGATATGGTACTTTCCTGACCTAGTTTTCGTTACTTTTGGCTGTTTTTCTCAGTTCGCAGGTTTTTAACACTAAAAAGCCTACTACTTTTTTATTTATTAAACAATGCCAACCATATTTTCAGTAAATGTTCTTCATGCGAAAATACAACTTTTGTCACGAGGGAATTGTGATTGCTTTCATAGAAAAAAGTATTTGGTAATTAATATTCACATTTTGAAACTTTTGAATACTAAAAAGGGTACGATTTTTTAGACCTTGTAAAATTCTCACTAGTAATTATTTCAAAAAGTTGTCGTGACAAAAGTTTTAATATATACTGAAATATAAGCATTTTAAATTTTATTGCTATAGGTGCATAAATAAAAACGCCTTAGTATTTTTAAAAGTACCGAAAAATTCAAAATGGCGGAGGTTTTTTTGGGTTTCCATGACAACCAAAATTGTTTTCGACCCTTTTTTTTGCTGTTTAATACTTGCTTTTATATGCCAAATATGATAAAAATATTCAGAAGGCTTTAGATCTTAAACTGTAAAAAATAGAAAAAAACATAGCATATCCCCTTAAAAGCCTTTTTTAATTTTTCAATATACCTTAACATTGTTTAATCAGGCATACTCTTTCAGCTAGGTTGATTAGTTTCAAATATGCATTGATGCACATGAGACAAAGTCCTGCAGCTAGTTTTTGTTCTTTGATGTTTCGAACACACAATACTAAATCGAATGTTGACAGAATTTGACAGAAGGCAGAAAATTAGATGTTTTACTTGCATTTGAAATTTCATTTATCTATCTGAAATAGTACTCACGTTATAGGCTTTTGAAAAATTGAAAGTAGAATAAGTTCCACTTTCGGTTATCGGAAATAGCTCAGAAGTTGTTACGGATCTACAAATTTGATATAATACTTATATATGAGATTTCATCAACCTAGCTGTAACGGTACTCAAGCTATCGTGTTTACGACAAACACACACATGCACACAGACATACGGACAAGATTGCAAAACTATGCTTTTCCAAATCAGGGAGGTGTAAAACGTCGAGATTTGCAAAAATGTCGATTTTTTTTTTTGGGAGGATTACAATACTTTCTCTATACTTCGTATACCAGAAAGTAAAAATATCCAAGTAGATGTTATTCCATCAAATACACATACTCAAAAAGTACGCACGCACAAAAAATAATAAACACACGTACACACACACGCGAAAAATAAACGTACATAAATGTACACTTGTAAACACAGAACACGCACTATAGCACACACACACACACACACACATGTACATGCAAAAAAAAACATACACACACGCGAATAACAAACCTGCGCTGCGCAGCCCATACACAAAACATTCATGCCAACATAAACCCACGAACACAAACGCTAGCACAATCACTTCCACACACACGAAGGCAAACATCAAAATGCTTATGCACACACACAACACACACTTGCACGAAATCACACCCTCGTATACAAACACACATTAACACACTCGCGTAAAATCGCATGCACACACTAGTGTTCACTACACATAATACTATACTGTCAACAACGCACGCTCGCGCAGAACAAGCACGCTCCTATCTATCCCAAACACACATACACACGCTCACTCGATGAGAAAAACTCAAATTGTCACAAATATATACGCTAAATACAAACACACATATCACACGCTCGATATATACACATACACGCGCACACGCACAAACTTATTTGTTTATTTCACACTACAACACACGCTTACACATTTTCACATACAAATTAGGACGCTTATACACGCTGTTATTTTGCATGTGCGCAACATAGGTTGGTGCGAGTGAATATTGGTGCGCACGTATGTTGAACGTATGAATAATGTGATGCGTATAGTGTGATGGTGATGTTTCTGTGTAGAGACGTGTTACTGTATAATGTGTGGTAGTTAGTCTGATTTTTTACAAACTTTTATTTAACTCGCTTCCTCTGTTGTCAGTCGTCAGTCTGTCTAGATCGAAACGCCGGAGTGAAAATTCGGACACTTCTACTTGACCGATACGATTCACATTTGGCACGTGGGTCAAGACATGAAGACAATGCATTCTGAAATTAAAGTTGACTTAATTGGATGCCTAATTAATTTTTTATGAATTAATTAATAGGCATTTAGTAGGCATGTCTATCCAACCACACCACACGCGTCATCACGTTCAATAGCTGCGCCATCACGTTCAGTAGGCGCGCAATGTTTTTTAGTCATGTAACTCTATTGTAAATAAAACATATAAAGTACTGGTAGGTAATAGGTGATAGGTGCAGAGGCGTATCCAGGTTTTCGTTGTAGGGGGAGCGAAAAGAGCAAAAAAAAGGCGCCGAATTTTTAACACCTTCTATATACGAGTATTATATATATATATATATATATATATATATATATATATATATATATATATATATATATATATAATTACTAGCTGTATGTGATTACTTCGCTATGATGTAAAATAAATTCAAAGTAGCACTCTGAAGAAATAAGAAAAAACACACAATGTAGGCCGACAAAACAAAAATTGTATCAATCTAAACAATATATATATATATATATATATATATATATATATATATATATATATATATATATATACACTACAACCAAATACAATGAACGTAACATTATCTGTTTTGTAATTCTTGTAAAAAAATTCTTACATAATAATTCGTGGGAAATTATTTAAGACAAGTGAAATCGGGGAAATAATCACTCTCTTAATATAAATATGTATATATCTAAACATTTAATTATAAATGTCAAAACAAATAAATAATTACTTTAGAATATAATGAAATTTTTTAACACTATTCGTGTTTACAAAATGTTTTTTCTATAATCAGAAATTAATATATCGTCATCATAAATGCTAAAGTATTACAGCATAATGAAAGTTTTTAAAATCAGTGTTGGTATAAAACCACGCTTTTCGATGTAATAGAAAAACACTCGTAATAATAGCCTACATTTAACTATATATTGGGCTTTGATTCAAATCGTATAATCTTAATTGTTAAATTAACTACTGCTTCTTTATGTTCTTAAAAGATAATTTTTTAACATAGTGATAGGTATGGATTAGATCACTGTATTGCTCACACACTATTTTACTGGTAAATGCAAAAACAATATTCACAGAGTTTTACGTTTAAAAAGCTAATTTTCTGGCGGCATGGTACTTTGGTACATCTTTAGGCGTTTTTCTACATGTACTTAACAGATCAGTTCGGGGTGGGTTGGGGGGAGGGTGGGTGGGTTCAACTTCATTCACCACTGTCAATTATCCAACCCAGTGTATACCTAGGTGTGACATTAATATCGCTCTACACAGTTGTGGTGGTGAGGTGTGTGTGTGGGGGGGGGGGGGGGGGAGATAACCAACTCAGAGTGAACATAGCGTCAGATTTTAGATGACTGTTCTAAACATACATATATATTACACAAATATATATTACAGAAATAGATTTAAATAAGTAGCAGTGGTATTATGACAATATTTTTTTTACAGAGGGGTCCATGGGGGAGGGGGTTGTAACTGTTTCATATAATTTGTAATCGTAATCATTATCGCCCAAACTGTATGAATACTACTACTTCATCGTGATGACGTTGACTTTGTCAAAATTTCCCCACCACTACGCAGTTTGCTCATAAGTAAATTTAAATAGAGGTGCCACATCAGTTGTATTTGTTTCTGTATTGTAATTTTTTTTAATTAATCACACGATTCAAACTGTATATATAAAGTAATTATGTGTGAAGTTTTATGTATAACATTTTCTAATTCAATTATTCGTAAGCAAATACATTATACAGTTGCCTTAAACTTAACACCCCTCTTGCCAAGTGGTACTACCCGTAGAGGTTTTTTTAAACATTGCAATGCATCGTAATGGTTATTTTTAGAATGGCAAACTGATGCAGCTGTTAATACGTGTTGTAAACGTAGACACTTCTAGACTAGTACAATAATGCTTAATTGCTGCATGAAAAGAAATCTTGTGATTTACATAGATGTGCCGACCAAAAATATTTTTTTAACAAATATCATTGTTTAAAACTTTGAGTTTAAAAAGTTTCCAAAAAGGCGCCACTTTGCTGAAAATGGCCAGAGGGGGAGCGGCCGCTCCCCCTGCTCCCCCCCCCCTGCGTACGCTACTGGGTAGGTGGTAGGTGGTAGGTGGTAGGTGGTAGGTGGTAGGTGGTGGGTGGTGGGTGGTGGGTGGTGGGTGGTGGGTGGTGGGTGGTGGGTGGTGGGCGGTAGGTGGTAGGTGGTGGGTGGTATGTGGTCCTCTTGAGATCACAAAATCGCACCCTACTGCCGGGCGCCGCACCTTTGAAAAAAATTACTTTTGCAGAAATCTTTTCAGGATAAAATAAATCTAAATGCATTCGGCATGGTATACAGTTTTGATTACAGTTTTGCATCATGCTGTTAAATGCACGTAGGCCTACTGATTTGTGGTGTACATTACAGTGTGCAGCGAGGTGGTGTAAGTTTTGATCTACTTCGTGTGTTCTGTTTTGTGTGTATGTGTGTTTTGGTGTATAGCTAATCGAGTGTATGCTGTAGGATGAATTATTGTGATTGTAATTTTTTTCCCAAGAGAATCTCTAAAGTTTAGTGCCACTCCCCTTTTCCGTCCTCTATAGAGCACATTGCAGAATTTCACAATGTAGAGAAGTACAAGTATGCAGCTTGAATTTACTTAAGGCATACCCATGCCTGGATCGTATTAGTTTCGAATTCTTTTTAGACGCAACAACGTAGAATAGTAAAATTCAAACAAAGTTAACACAAACAGCAATAGATTATTATTCTTTTGAATCACACAATCTAAGCTAGGTTTAGTGAAAACAAAAAAAAGTTTTTTAAATTATTTTTTATTAAAGGTCGGTACAGTGACAAGAGTTTGAAAACCAAAGGTCTAGGCAATGGAATTTGAGATTTTATTAATTACAGTTTATAGAAAAACATATTTGTGTGATTCAATTGTCTAATAAAATTAGTGCTTAAAAATGGAAAATAAAATTAATTTTATCTTAAAATCTTATTTTGATAAATTTGACATAAACTATCATAACTCAGGTTCGATTGGTCTGATTCCCAACTTGTTGTTATCATTCAAATAAATTTTAGAAAATACTTTGAGACAAACAAAATAAACTCCAAGAAATGAGAGACTAGTACATCAATATGTTGTGGAGTTTGACCACACACTAAACCTCTTCCGAGATGTGTTTATGAAC